TAGGGAAAGTTCTCTGTCAAAGATAACCACGCCAACTGAACCACTCAAATCCTCTGCAAGTTTGCTCTATAATGTGTAGTGCCTGCTAATGCTTGAGTAAATGGTTAAGATAAAAATAAGAATATGAGAACTCTTAGCAGTTCTGAGGCAGTGCAAACACAGCTAAGACCTGTGGGATCAGGAAAAATACATTACGCTGGACTTTTGTTCTTTTTATACTAGAAATTCTATTTCTGTTAAACCTCAAATAGAGAGTGACGACGTCTTCACTGACCATTTTTACACTAATGGCAGATCATAAAAGCGTCACGTAGTTCAAATAGAGTCAAATTAAAAGCAGCACCACAGAGATACATTGATTTGGCCACAATCTTCTAAAGTAAAAAGTTAAAATCAGCAGCAATAATTATATTTGTGACATTTTAAGTTAGTGACCTGTATCAAAACACGTTTTACAACCTTTCTGACCTTCTCCCTCAAATATTGTGCCACTTTATTAAAACAGATAGCTAACTAAATGAGTTATCTACAACAGAACAATGAAGTAGTTTGCAAGTCATTAAAATGAGTCAATTGCTGATAAATCCTGCTGTTCCCTGCAGAAAACAATTCATCTGAATCGACTGGAACTATTTGAAGCTACATGAGGTGACTGGCTGCTGTTTTTGACCCCTCGATGACATGATGCCAGTAATTATCTATATGGTGTCTATACATAGTTATATCTATGAAGAACAAAACATTTCTTACCCCCCCAATTGTGTTAGGATAATGCTAATTATCTTAACACATCCTGAAGCATCAGGACTCAGCTACATGCATTAGCCGTGTACCGAAGCATTAGCACACACACACACCTGATGAACCTTCTTGGCTTGAAGTGATGATTCTGGTGCCAGTCATACTTGTGATCATGCAGCCAAGTGGCATTAAGACATTTCAGAAAACATTTCTACTAAGGCGTTGATGAGAAGGTCAATATCACTTTCATCTCTGTGTGTTCAACTGCTTGGGACAGAAACTAGAGATAGGGGACCAGCCTACTATATCTCCATCAAAGGTAAATTCTAACAATAGCACAACTGCCTGGTTTACATATCTCAGTCTAGCTCAGTCAGTCCAAGTCTGGGACTCTTGTGTAACTGGAGGTTTTGCATTCCAAACAGACCGATCTGATGTCACTTGGCGTTTCCTAAATGGCAGATCATATTCAGAAATTCCTTGCCATGACATTGTTGCTCGCCAACTGGCAGAAGTTAGTTTACTAATCATTCTAACAGTGTGAAGTACTTGTGAGTTTTAGGCATGTTGGACACAGCAGCGCTAAGGATGCGTTTTAATCACCTCAGCAGCTGCACAGTGTGCTTCCCCTCTGGGTGGAGTGCTGTGCTCGCAGCAGCATGGCAGTATGAAAACTCTGCAGTAAAATGATGAAATGTTATCATCATTATGTTGAAAGAAGCCTGTTTAACTCTGGTTTTTTATTTTTACAGAGGTGAAGGGGAGAAGCTGGCCAGGTACAGACGGTAGGTAGAAAAACATCTAAGGCCCAAAAAGTGGTTATATTCAGACTGTGTCAGTATTTGGTTTTTAAATGGGGTGAATCTGATTTTACTACTACGGGTCGGTTGTATTTATCCACATCTAAAATCTCCTGTGCACAGCTACCACATGCACAGGAGGGCTGGAACAAACTAAAGCACTCTGGAGTTGAAAAAAAAAAGGAATCCACTGACAAAGTCTGGCATGTTTACAAGGTTCTGCGTAACAGCAGCAGGATGGTGCGTGAATAAAAATGACAAGGAGGCTTATGTGAACCATATGGCAATGATGAAGTATTCTGTTGTGAGGATGAGACCATGTGAGCATGTGATAAAAAGCTAAAGCTGCTGCATCCAGTTTGTCCTCAGGGCTGTTTTACATCTCCAGTCTTTCTCCAGTAACTTCCTCCAGCTGACTGCTGAGACTGAGCATTACAGCAAAGGGGTGATGCTATTAGTGTGGCTAAATAACAGTTCTACCCAAGGGAATCTGCAAGACAATGTTTTACACAGCAAGAAGGATTGTGCAGCTCCACTGACTCACTGCTGCATATATTTCACCATGGAAACGATCTTTTCTTTTCTGAAGAATGCCAAAGTATTTACTGCTTTTTCAGCTTTATAAAGTCATACATCGAATATCTTTTTGGCTTTATCTGAAAAAGAATATAAAGACAATTTGGGCTACGAGTATTTACTGTTCATTTTATGATACTGTATAGATCAAATAATTGGTTACGACAATAATCACTGGTTATAGCGCTGCTCATTTCAGCCTGCCTTCTTACTCACAGGGGGCATAAAACATGACCAGAGCTGCAGGATGTTCCTCCAGGAAGCTGTCAAAAGACTCGTCAGTCAGGTGAAAGACAGAGGAATCCGTCTCAGACCACAGCACCTCGGGGGTCTTCGGCTGGGGGGGCTGAGGGCTGAAAGAGGAAAAGGAGACAGCAAGGGCAACAGAGGTGAGGGCCATTTCAACAGCAGACATATTCCAGCTGGCATGTCATCTGTATGGAGCAGAAATCGAACACAGCTGTAACACCCCGCCCAATCTGTCACGCACACACACAAACACACATCTGGACTGAAACAGCCACGCCTTGATGACGGTACTGCAATGCCATGAGCAAGTGGACACAGATATAAACAAGTGCACACTCCTTGCACTTGTGCACACACTCACACACAAGTCATTAAAAAAAAAGGACATACACATCCCCCGTCCGCAATCTTTTCTCATTATCACACACTCCGGCCTGAGCCAAAGAGCCGAAGCCACATGAGACTGGATATCCTTTAAAAACATTAGACCTGTACAACAGCTGTGCTAAGAGATGCTGCATCTCTCCCATACACTGATCTTTCATCCAGAATGTCATCTGTCTCATATACATCTCTCTAATACATAAAAAACAAGTCAGGACCAATGTTTATCTGGGATTGAAGCTACCAGATGACACTTTGGGGTGCTCTTCCACAACATGTGGTGCAGTTCTCTCCTCAGCTTCCTCTATACCCCAGTATCGGTATAACACTGCTGCAGAGGACAGGAAGGATAACCAGGAATACTCTCTCCTACCTCCACGTCTGGGTCCATTTATTGTTTTGAAACTAGACTAACATTATGCCGCATTCACACACACAGATTCAAAAGGCTGGGCCAGGGACAGCCGCCACTCATTGTGAATGAGACCAGGCTTTGCAGCACTGCACCCGCCACAAAGCTCAACAGATTCAAAAAGCATCCAGCTACTCCACAGAGGAAAGCTGAGGAACGCTCAACTTTATGCCAAAATGCTCTTTGCACGTGAGCGACGGCCAGGTGAGAGCCAGTCATCATCATCTTCATTTGAACAGGAATAGAAGCACAGAGTTGTTTCCAGCTCCACTTCAACATGTGAAGGGATTTTAAAGATAATGGAGAAAACTTAGGGTTGTGGTCTGCAGCTTCCCAGTTCTCTATGAGGCGTCTTCAATGAGTTTCAGGACGAAGAAACAGAAGGATGACATGTGGAAACAAACCTCAGGTATACAGCAGTAGGGCAGACACATCGGGAAACAACTGCCCGTGATAACATTCTCAAGACAACACCCCCCCACGACTTCAGTTTCAGTGAAGGGCAGATACAGCCACCTACTTTGAATCTGTCTGTGTGAACCTACTGTAAGGTAAGTAAGTCAGGATCAGTTTCAAGTCAGGATCAAGTATTTCAACAGTCTGATTTTACCACTGCGCGTGGGCTAACATGTATTATTTTTAATCCTCACTATAAGAGCCATCTGAATAAAGGCTTTTTAATTAATTTCTAAAAGACTGCCTTGAATTTCTCCTTTTTGACCTCGATTGCTGTTGGTAGTCCAGTGAAAAAGAGCAAAACAAGTGAAACTGTGTGGGAAATAAAAACTGGGACTGCAGAGTCTGAACATTCTGTAAGAGAAATTTCATCAAAACTTGGGAAGATAATTAGGGATGATAAATGAGGGTGAGGAGATAAACAATCTGAGGCAGAGAGTCCTAGAAAAAGAGCACAATGGACACAATGTCTCAAAATATGAACTTAGCAAATCAGGCTATTCTGGGAGAACCCTTTCTACACAGTTTACTTCAAAAAGCCTTTTCAGCTTTTTCCCATCTGCAGCATCTACAGATGAAAAAGGCTCCGACACAACAAACTGCAAATCTGATGAGGCAGGAGGTCAATCTCCCATCTTAGTAGCATATGGAAGACATACAAGTGGAAATGATCTGATGTTAGTCTATCCATGTAAAATGAGGTTTTATTTAGTGCCAAAAAGTGAGCTGGGGTCGGAAGTTTAGAACTGTTATGCTTCTGGGCTAAAGAGCTAGAACACATCCTCTGTCGATTTCGCTCCAGTTCCTCCTTCTGTGCCCTCTGGCTGCAGCCCTGTGGACAGAACAGACCCTTAACACGAGCGGAGAAGGGAGGCGGAGGACAACAGGAAGCAGGAGAGCTAAGCCGAAGTGGGAGACGGGACGTCACTGGCACAGAGTGTGAGCCAAGGTGAGAAAGCGAAATGAGACAAGAACAGTGCAGGCGAAGACTGATGACACCATGGCAAGGTGGGTCAAGTTGAAGAGAGGCAAGAAAAGGTGTGATTAAGACCACTGCAGAAGGAAAAGGTGATGCTGGCCATTTAAGGTGAGAGGTATCAGCAGCAATCTTATTATAGCAGGTCGAAACAAAATGTAGTGTGGAAGCTCCATTCTGTCTTTTTATTAGAAAAGATACACAAACATCTTGAACATCAGTCCTTTCTACATGCATCTTAACAAGGTGAATGTGATTATAACCCTACTTACTTCTTCATCCAGTCTGCGATATCCTTGGCTGTGGCTCCGTAGTTTTCATAGTGATAAAGGAACTTCCCCTTCCTAAAAGACCAAAGAGCACAAGAACAAGTTGATCTCTGAACCAGCAATGAACACAACTATGGCTTGATACTGTTCATTGCTGGTTTTAAAACTACTGCCAGCGGCTACAGAACAAGACTTTATATCTTAGTTAACTAATTATACTTTACATTCTTTTTGATTTAAAGGGTTACTCCACTGAAAGTCTTGTTTTGAGCACCAGTAGTGTTGAAAGGTGGAGCTCCCTCCATTGTGGATGACAGCAGATGTGGTCACATTACAGAGCGTAGAAATCCACTCTCCACTCCTACTGGGTGTTTCTACACTGATCCTAATGTACACGCTCACTCTGTTACACTGCTTCTAGCACCGAGGAGACAACGGAGCAACACAGAAGCAGTGAACAAACTGCTGCATTGGTAAAAGATAATTGTTTTGAACCCCGTTAACATAAAAATCAACAGGAGCGGATAAGTCTGCAAGACTGGTTTGTGTTTTCACCATGAAACTGAGTCACAGCTGGAATGGCTGTTACAGCCGAACCATAAACAGCAGGGGGATACGTAAACACATTTTAATAAAAAGATCAATTGTCAGTGAGGTTCTCCTTTAAAACGATTGTCAAATTTGTCAACTGTGTTTATTATGGTAACAAAATAAGCACAGATAAAATCTAGTGTGAAATGAACAAAGTAACATCTTCGTCCTCCGTCTAGTATTTTGTATGTCCATCTTAAAGCAGCACATAACCAGTAACCTGCTGTAATGCATTTGAAATGAGCTGGAAGAATTTCCTCCGCTCCACAGTCTGAAAAGATTCAAAACTTAAGCAGATTGTCTTCATAGGAGTGCGTTTATCTACTCTGGTCGCTGCGACTAAATGAAGGTTGGATGTGGATACGGCGGCTCAGCCAAAGGATCAGTGTCAGGAGTAGCTGGCTCTGGGCGGTGTAATTCTGCAAACACACGGGGTGGTGACAACCGCAGATACAACTCCCGAGATACAGAGCGCACACTATTAAAGGTGATGCATGATTACACACACTGGATGTGGAGCTTAAAAACCTGCATTTGAAGTGAACCGACTATCGTTTGGAATTCAATCAGGGAGATTTATGACCAATTCTATATTTGCCTGCTTTATCTCTGCTGCTGTAAAGTACACCAAAACCCTGTGAAATCAAGTTGAGGAAATGTGAAATAAATGTCATTTACTCAGCAGTTTCTAGTTTTTTTCTTTGTCAAAGGGACAAAAAAATGAAACTGTTTCACTTTTACTGTTTGATAGAACGTTGACTGCTGTGTTGGGTAGTAAGCTTTCTTAATCTGCAGGAGTGAAAAGGTAAAAGACCTTGAATGCTTGGTCTTACCAGCTGTAGCGGCGAGATAACTGCAGCGGCGTTGATGCTGATTTACACTGTAGTGATTAGCTGCTGTTTATCAGTGAGGGGTTCATTACTGCAGCCAATGGGCTCAGACGGTCGTTAGCTAGCCCCGCACTGACACTAATGTGCTCCCAGCTAACAGACTGACTCTGGATCAGCTACACAAGTGCAAGAGCATACATGCACGTGTGTCCGCATTCACATAATATGCACAAATGAAGTGCACGGGTACAGAAAGAGGGCCAGCACACACACAAACACACTGACAAACCACAGAGGCACTTAATCAGTCCCAGTCTAATTAAAAGGCCAGACCAGAATGAGAGAATGTTTAATGTGGAAATGTGGATGATAAAAGTGGTTCAGGAAGAATAAAAAGCACACCACAGAGCACTGGCTCCGGAGCACCAGCAGACTAGCAGATAACAACACTGTAAATATGAGGAGGGTGCAGGGATGTTCTGCCTGGGGGTCTGCATTAACAAACACTATCAGTCACACTCTCAGCCCCTACGGAGTGTGTGGCTACAAGCTTTGACTTTGTGTGTACGAGTCTATAAGTGTGTTTAGACACTAGAGCTGAACAGTAAAATAAAATGAGATTAATTACTTCATCAGCATAACTTCTCCCTAATACTAAAAGGTACTAAATCAGTGTCACATGAGGCCTAAAGGTGTTCGAGGAGATGAAACAATGTTTGTATGGTATATTAAAAACCTTTACTTAGCCTGGCATATTAATAATTAAAAAAGAAAATTCATTTTCAGTCTTCAGGCAGACCACAGCTCAGCAAATTACAGCCGGCTCATTTCTGTGGACCAGCAGCAACCACAGTGTGGTTTCTGAAGCAGAAGGCTCCCGCTCATCATCCAGCAACGTACTGCGCTGACCAATCAAATGTGAGGAAGCAAACCTTGATGATGTTGCAGAAGAAGACAATCATGTCGTGTTAACATTCTGGAGCATTTTTCTGGGAAACCGCCCAGTGCCGCAAAGTCCGAGTCCCATATGAAAATGGCGACAACCAATGATGGCTAACTAGAAAGTCAAACCACCTCAGACTGACTATGCACCTTGCAGACACTGAGTGCTGTTTGCGATAGTAAACCGAGTATGAAGCAGAAGAATTATGACCCATTTGGCTTTTGAGAGACCAAAACTGTAAGATGTTCATATTTACTTCCACATAAGACAAATAAAGGTAGCAAACTGTCACAATAAGCTGGAACAAGAGAATGTTTGGCATTTTTGTTTGAATGAATTAGCAACATACTGATCAAGTGCAGCTCCACTTCATAGCTGATCATACAGCACCACCCGTGTGTCCTCCTTGCCCCCCTGCTGTGATTTTATGTTTTTCAAAGAGAATACTCAAAGCTTGATAGACACAAGCTCAGGACCTGGAGGGCCACCTTTGCAAGCTTCATGTTCGCTGCCATTCCCTCTGCTGGTGTTTAAGATACCTCAGCTATACTTTCAGTTTGAAGTGGCCTTGCTCGGATGTTCTGGGCCCTGGCAGTGTGGACGGAGTCTAAAGTGAGATAGATGAGAAGAACTGACTCACTCAAAATAGCAGAAGGTCGGGTAGCCTTTGACGCTGTACTCCTGCTTGAGGCTGTCAAACTCAGCTGGGTGCACATTCATCCCCGCAAGCACCTTAACAAAGCAAAGACGAAAGGGAGGTGAAGAAAAGTGAAGGTGGAGAGACAAAACAGAGAAAGGACATCAAACATCAAAACAGGTTAGTCATCATCAAAGGGCACAAAATAAAAAGATGGATTAGTCCGAGTATGGAAGGAGACTGCACTGTGAAAAGGGTATAACGGATGTTGATGAGCAGGTTATAATCAGACACTCACTGTTTAGGATCAACCTTTAATTTAAATAGCAGAACATGATTTCAGACACTTCACTGTGTGTAACTAACCTGTTGTCATTTTAATGGCTTTAGAGAATTGGAATAATAAATGCAGGACTAAAACTCTATAGCCAAATAGGCTCTAGGCTGTCCTGTTCACTTCACAGCAAACTAATGTAAAACGCTGGTACTGGTCAGCCTCAGGTACAGTTACACCCATCAACACACACTGACACACTGTGAAAACTGCAATGCCAACACCACTGCTTGAAGAAAAAGTCAGATTCCTCCTATACAGACACTTCTTTGATATAAATCATACAAGGTTTTCTCTAAGAAATAACTGGACTAAACATATAGTGACAAAAATATGTTGTTAAAAGGTTAATGTCACTTGGACTATTCCATTTTCCTCCCCTCTTGTTTCTCCCCCCGTGAGTGGTATGTTCCAGTTCTCAGAGTGTGTCACATTAGCCACCGTGTGAGGGGCTAAATAGCATTGTGTTCGGAGTTCCAGTTAGTCGGAATGTATTACCAAGTTTACCCCCCTTCTGGTGTGCGTCCATGAACATAACCACACCTCTGATATGTGGAATAAAGTTGTGATCTAATAGTCACTTCAGTGGTGGACTGTGCTTTAAACCCAAGTCCAAGAGAGGCCAAAGTCAAACATCTCTGTTTTTCATATGTCCAATGTCTCCGTCTTGTCCACCTATTTAATGTTACATTATTCTTCAGCTACACTCATGGAATTTAAAACTGCACCACTAATACCAATAATACCAATAATACCACTAATACCACTAATACCAATAATACCAATACAGGTGATGCAGTTTTAAATTCCAGGAGTATACATCTATCAGCCATAACATTATGACCACTGACTGTTAC